GAAGCGGATATCGTCCTCTTTTGGAAGACCAAACAAAGTAGTTTCGCTTTCACAACGAAGCTCACAGCACCTTCAAGACATGGCGGCGGCAACAATACTACAGCGAGAATAAAAGTTACGCCTTCTTTCTTTGCGCGAACATTTGGGCGGCGTTATGCAAATCTTCCCACATAGTGAGGTAGATATGTGGGGGCGTGTTAGAACGAGCCGTTTTAGGTAGGTGTGGCTGACTCTTAACTTTTATAAAGAATATCTCTTTGGATTTGAGACTTTAGTCTTTGCAACTTTACAGATCTTCTTTATGCACCAAGAGCTTGTAACACTCCAAAGAGAAAGGAAAAAATGAAAAAATGAAATTGCATCATATGACCCCTTTAAGACCCTAAAGAATCATATCAACTTGTGGAAAATGGGCATCCGATGACCCCTTTAAGGTCTTTGCACACTGAGTCTGAAATTTTCACATGTTAAAAAATAAATACGACCTCACGTTGTGTCAATCACGTTTACACACTGCCTTCGAAACTTTCGTCCGTCATAAAAAATTTGGATCAAGTTAAATTTTCTGCATTTCCGCATCCAAAGCAAGCATTTTGATAGGAAAGGATGATGAATACGAAAAAAAAAAATGGAAAAACGCATATGAAAATGTTGGATTCAGTGTGCCTTTACAAATCCCAAGATAACCCCAAAATAACAAGAATCATTAAAAAAAGTTTTCTCATATCTTGTCAGGATACTTGGTATTCTTAATATGTGCTAAGTCCAGCTCAATGTTGTGACAAAAGCATGAAAAACAACTAACATCAGAAACAAATGGAAAATGGATTTGTGAAATTAACACCCTGCTGTATGTTGTGGTTTTTAATATGTCTCATTCCCTCACAAAAGAAGATCTGGGTATGTCTTTACTGTTCTGCTGTAAATTACTTAGATGTCATAAAACCCTCAGTTCTAGCTTTTGACAGCTACACCCAAGGCCGGGCGAAAACAACTCCCCCTTATTTTTATTTTCATTTGATTCACCACAGCGTTTGCTAATGGAAAACAATTCTTTCTTTTCTGAAAACTGTTTAATGAATTTGCATTTGTCATATTATTAGGGTATTCCTCCTCCACTCAGGGCCAATATGAGGGTTTTGATTCATTGACTGGCGCTTTGAAAATACTTGTTAGCAAGACTTTAATGATTATGATTACAGTCTTAACATGCATGCTGTTTTTATGACAATCTCAAAATGCAGCTAATTTTAGATATAATACAAAATGTTTCTTGTTTGTGTTTTTTTTTTTACTTCAGGTAATGTTTTCTTTGCGCCCACACCACGTAAGATGACCTTTGATGAGGCCAAGGCTGAGTGTGAAAGCATGGATGCAGAGCTGGCCTCACCTGGTCAAATCCACGCTGCCTGGAGACAGGGTCTGGACCGCTGTGATTACGGATGGCTGTCTGATGGCAGTGCTCGCCACCCTGTCTCCGTACCCAGAAGTCAGTGTGGTGGTGGTCTTCTGGGTGTCCGCACCATGTACCGCTACCGAAACCAAACAGGCTTCCCAGATCCCAATATGAAGCTAGGAGCATACTGTTTCAAAGGTAAAAACTTTACACTAAGCTCATGAATTGTTTATGGCGTGATAAACGAACACCTGAGTAGTTGCGAGACTAGCCACTTTACCAGCTGCTTTGACGTCATTTCTCTCAGTATGCGTATTATGGAGCCCTCACCCCATTAAACACATAAACACGAGCTCCAGACTTACTGTGAATGCCTCTTAAGGGCAGTAAATCAAAGCAGAATATTAGTTAAAGTGAACCACTTTTTGTTAATTGAGGTTCTTTTAAGTTGAGACGCCTGGTATGGAAAAGTTTACATGAGAGCTCATTCTCCAGTGATTCCTTGACCTCACTCTGCTGCATTCTGGGTTGCCGCCCGTTTCTAAGGCAACCAAACTGGGCTTGGTTAACAGGAGGGTTTAAACATCCAGAGGTCCGTTTTGCTACTGTAGTACTTTGTGGCTAAAATGACATATGCTTGTCAGACTTTGCCTTGTGGTGTTGTAGGTACTCAGACTTCAGAAAGACTTGATGTTCCCATCAGCTTGGATGACCTCATAAGAACAATACACTGTTAAATTTAGTGTTATTAAATTAAAATCCAATTTTATTATTGTACATTACAATGTTGTCACTCCTAATTTCACTTTTAGCATTTAAATGCCTGCTTTTAGTTTGTAGTGTTTTAATTTTCATTATAATATCAGCTAACTGCATTTTTCAGGGAGGTCTACTAAATGCATATATGATTGATGTCTTTTAACTGAAAGGTAAGAATTCCTTCCCTAGAGTTGCCATATTGAGATTTATGTTTTCTCCCATTCATTTTATCTGAATTATAATGAATGAAACTTTATTTGCCTTCTTTCCTTTATGTTTCTGTATAAGTCTTTTGTTGCGTAACATACCTTTTTCATAACTTAGGAGCACAGCACAGGCCTAAAGACATCAACAAAGATTAAAGGGGTCATATGATGTTGCTAAAAAATAACTGCACCAAGAGCTTGTAACACTCCAAAGAGAAAGGAAAAATTGAAATCGCATCATATGACCCCTTTAAAAACGACTTAGTTGTTAACTATTACTTTTTCTTTTTCTGTCTCTTTCCGCTGTCAGACTCTCTGTCCTTCCTGTCATTTGCACCAGCGCTTATCTGAACAGACATAAAGATAAAGGAGAACGCTACTACTAGAGAGCTAAAATCAGTGGGTCTCGCTAATCCCTGACCTGGGGGGGGGGTATCTTTTCAACTGAGGCTAATTTAGACAACCTACCCCATGCTAGGCAGGGCGCTCACCCAGAATGACAGCCACTGACTGCTGTGATAAGTAATGGACCTGGGATTAACCCTAAACCTCGACACTATGACCTTGTTGTTTGTTTGGTCTGTTTCAACTCTGTCAAGCCTCTCTGATCCATGTGGCATTGAGTGTGTTCAAGTGTCTTCTCTTCCGTGGTGGGTTTGGTTCTCATGTCCGTCTGACCTGTGATGACTGTGAATGTTTGATATAGTGACAGAGCTGCATAAAAAGGGAGGTACATTATAACATCCCACAAACCATCAGACAATGCATCACGTGGATGATGAACATTTTTCTTGAGGGAAAAAGTACCTCATGGCTGACATCAGACTGAATAGAGAGAGCCTGTAGATAATGGAGAACAGCTGGAGCCTTGGCAGTTGGCCTGTTATATTTGAAGATAACGTTTTTTTTGGTGAACACAGGGTGATTAAAAGCCATTTAGAGCATGCAAGCTGTTTGTGTGAATGAAATTCAATTTGCAAAACAATTGTTAGGTTGTTGAACCATTTTGACACCATTCAGTTAAAAGAAATCCACTGAATAGTTTAAAGCCAAGTTAATCTGATGTGCTATCACACCAACCTTTACATATTTAAAATCAAGCACTGCATACAATGAAATGCTCAAAGAACTGTCTGTACCTAGAAAGTTGTGTAAAAATGACCATGCCCTTATTATCCTTATATGGAGTTAAAGTGAAAATCACTTTCAGATTGCAACAATTTGAAAAGCTTTATCACCTAGGTATGTTTCAACATTTGTTAGAAATATAGGCCTCTCTGGGACTCTGAGAACAGAATGATTAAATCATTGTCTTGTTTCAGCAATACTGGGATGATGTTTCATAATAATTTAATTATAATAATCATGCAATCAAGCATAATGTCCCAAGAGATGGACTGACAGTTGGAAGCTTGTGTGAAAATGGAAAGATCCCATAACAGAGATTTATTTAGAGATCATGGTATTTTTTTAGATACAGTGGCCTCAAAATGTATTTGTCCAAATTTGTAAATTTAATTCTGGATATCAAACCAAGACAACCACGTGACAAAAAGAAAATGTCATAATATTTTAATACTACTATTATTCTTAAATAAAGTAAATAATGATATATATGTATACCACTGTTCAAACAATTGGGGATAACACTTTTTAATGTTTTTGACATTAGTGTTGTATGCTCACCAAGGTTGTATTCATTTGATCAGAAATACAGTAAAAACAGTAATATTGTGCAATATTATTGCAATTTAAAAAAAATGTTTTGAAAAGTAGTGTACATTTATATTTATTTAACAACATTTTTTTGTACATATATGTATTATTTAAATATATAATTTGCATATAATTATAGGATATACATTTTTTTTTTGCTTTTTCCTTTTAACTAAAGTAATAGTTACTTTAATAATTTTGCTTATAGTATAGTGCTTTTTATGTTCACTTACGACAAAAGAACACTTTTGGACATTGGACACCGCTACATTAACCTGTTTCAGGACACTTTATCCTCCAACCCATCGTGGCCTCTGCGACAGCTGAGAAAATTCAGGGTTTCGCCAGCAATCCTGAAAACGTTCTATTCGGGGGCCATAGAAAGTGTATTGACTCAGTGTATCTCAGTGTGGTATGGGAACAGCTCCAGTCAAGACTGCAAAGCCCTGCAGAGAGTTGTGCGCTTAGCTGAGCGCATCTCAGGGTCTGCTCTCCCCTCTCTACAGGACATCTACCTCAAACGCTGCAAAAGCAGAGCTGTTAAAATCATCAAGGACTCCAACCACCCTGGTAACGGTCTTTTCATTTTGCTGCCATCTGGTAAGCGCTTCCGCAGCCTGATGGCAAAAACCGAGAGACTTAGGAGGAGCTTCTTCCCCCAGGCCATCAGGCTCCTAAACTCAAACTCAGTCTCTTAACACCAACATGACTTCACTTAATTATCAGTATGACACTTAATATACAGACATTGTCACTTGCACACAGCAATTTCTGTAATATTTTATTTATTTACGTTTTTACCTCTATTGCTGCTATGTTACTACCCTGTACAACCTGTTTGCACATTCTTCTCTTGTATATTCCTGCTCATCTAAATATTTATTAAGCCTACAGTATACTGTCCTGTTCATTTTATTTTATTCTTATTTTTTCATCTTACTTTTTCCATACCTATATTTATATATAATTTTCTTGTGTTTGTATTCTTTAATAATTGCACTGTCCATGGAGCGGACCTGACTTGCATTTCACTGCTGGTCATATATTCCCTATATAACCATGTATGTGACAAATAAAAATCTTGAATCTTGAATCTCGAATCTATGTTTCTGTAAACAAGAAGTTGCAATCTGAGTACGTATTATTAATTGTGTTCTATATTTTAGTATGGATTAAATGCACTCTTTTGTCTATAATACAAAATACTCTGTAAATACTGTGATTTTTATTAATTAATTAAATTTTATTTACTCTAGGTTCTAAGCTTTTATTCAACCAGTCCTCCTGGGTGGATGTCACAGTTCAGAGTGGTACCACTATGGAGCCCACCACTGCATTCTTCAGCACAGGGACCACCACAGACCAGACTCTCTCTCCTGAGGCCAGTCCCTCTTATGCGTCACAGGCCACCTCTGATGATGTCCTTTCTCCAACAGATGCCCCTTCTATGTTTTCTACAAGCATGTTACCACCAAAGACAAGCCACGTCCCTGACAGACTAGAATCTGTAATCACACCTTTTGCGGCAGCGAAATCTGACGAAGGCTTTCCCACAACAAAACTTCCAGATTTTGATATTAGTGATTTTGCCACTGAGAAGGCTGGTGATGCAGCAAACGTTCGTGGAGACGTGATCCGTGGAGAACTTACTACTGCAGTTCCCACAGCCTCAGAGGAACCAATGAAGGAAATAGAGGACAAGAGCATCATTGAAGTGAAGACTGTTCTACCTGACATTTTACTCTCAGATTCTCTAAGCACAAAACTGATGTTCGCAGTCGGGAAAACAGAGGAATCTATCCTGGTTGGGGTTACAACAGGCAGCGTTTTAGAATCAGAGGCCACTGTACTGACATTAGTAAACACTGAAGAATCTGGACACAAAACTGAATCGTCCTCACTTAGTGAGCCAATCACAAAATTTCCAGCACAGATTCTGACTCACATAGCTAGCGAGACCAGTGCTGGTAAAGGCGAGGATGAATTACACGCTTCCACACAGTCATCTTTTACACTGGCAACAGAGGCTACTTTTCTTGAGAGTGCTAAGTCTACTGTGTTCTCTGAGTATGAAGATGAGACTGGTGTTGGTGTTGTTATGGCGGACCCCCCACCTCTGTCTACACAGAGATCCACCAGCCCAGAACCTGAACCTTCAGAGACCTCTAGTGGAGTTACCATCGCTGATTCTACAGTTACACCCGCTGTTTTTATGCAAAGCTCACAAACTGGAGAATCTACAGGAACTTCAGGAACCTCCAAATCAACACAAAAGGCATCTCAGACATTCACCAGCTATTCAGAAAGCGAAACTGTTCAACTGACTGACCGTGTTACGAAGTCACTGGGTTTGACTACACCTAGTTCAGCCACAGTTGCTGCAGGAGCAGTGATAACGACACCTTCACTTACTGACCATGAAACATCACACGAAGAAGCTACTTCAGGCCCTTCAGAGGCACCCAGGGAGACACTAACAGAGACCACAGACACCACCACTGATTCTGATCACTCATCAGGTATGATTTCTCTGCTTTTCTTCCTCTGAGGTTTCCACATGCTTTCTGAACAAAGTGGTTTGAAATGGCATATTAGTCCCATGGATCATTGATATTGAAAAGATGTGCAAGGCAGGGCTACATCATATATTTTAAAAACACTATCTTATGTAAATATGAACATGTAACATGAAAGGAATAGTATATGTTCTCACCCTCTGTGGTTTTCATTCGTTATCAGTAACAGATTTAATATATAATGATGATTTGAAGTGTTTATGTTTTTTATATATGATTGAAACATTAAGATAACTAACAAAGGTTCTGCTTGGCTAACCCTTTGTTCAGAGATTTCAAGCTGCTAAATTCATGATAAATCATGATTCACTGTTCATAAATTATTAGGGTGTATTTTTTTCAACACAGAAAGAATAATGGTAATCTTTTACCATTATACAGTAACTGTTAAATTAATTAAATAAATTAAATTAAATGCCGCAAAACTGCTAAAGGTCTGTTCATACCAAGAATAACATCTTTAAAGATGACAATAAATTTATTAGTGTCCGCGTCACTGAACGATAGCATTCTGTTTATTATACTGCAGTTATGTTGGCTGCCACTTTTAATGCTCCAGCTCTTTGAAGTCAGGTAGATTGGTTGTCCATCTTTTAGTCATCATCAGTTGGAAAAAAATAATTATGAAAGTATATTCCAATGATGTTGTTACTTTGTGTTGTGTGGACTTCCCACAGAATTAGAATGCTTATTAAAATGTTATTGTTGTAGTTATTGTTATAATTATCATTCTAGGTGTGAACAGCCCTTAACAGTGCTGTCCAGGGTCCTGAAAAGAATGGTTCTATACATTTAAAATGTACTTAGAAAGGCATTCCGCAGTACCCAAGATCACTATTTCTGTCAATCTCTGAGAATGTCACTTTCTTGGCACTTTCAAAAACCTTTGTGTTCTAACTGTTTCTGAAAATGCTTTCACGTCCTGAAAACAAAACTGCCTGCCCTATTTGCTGATTTTACAGGGGGTATCGAAAGCCTTGTCAAATTTTTGATGGATACTACAGTACCATACAGCAGAGATTTAGCCTTGTGTTCTTTGTATTGCCTTTAGCAGTCCTTTATAATGGTGACAGGTGAACTCTGATTCTCTAACTCTGTGATTCTGTGAGAAAGAAAGATGCTTTCTTGATGGTTCAAACTGGTCCACATTGTGTTCAGTAGGACTTCACTACTGAGTAATTTTGAAGCTCCAAGCAGTTACCTGCACTACTCCACAGGTGCAGCATTAGCTATCAGCTCTGATCTGTTAATGAAAGTTTTTTCTTTTCTTTTTTGCCTGCATCTGGCAGAGATGGTTTCAATACAGATGTGTATCCATTTAGTTTAGAGAGCTGTTCATTAGAGGATGCCCTAACAAATCTGTTCTCCCAGTGATTTCTGTCAGTGACGGCAGGCTTGGCAAAATGAGGCTTTGGACGCATTACCAGTGTAAACACAGAGGTCTGTTAATGCATTGACGTCTGGACACTACAACATGGCTGATGTCATCTCTACAGCAGAGTCTCCTCTGTATATAAAGACTGAGAAAGTAGTAGTGTAGAGAACGCGAGTGTTGCATTCGTATGTTGGCCTACTTGGTTGGTTGCAAGAAATAAATGTAAGACCAAAGGAAAGCTAGGATGTAAAAATGAAATATTACGTATTTCATGTCAAAACATTGTGACACAAAGATTAAACTAATGAGTTCAGGACATTACCCAGGTTGCTTAGGCCAGTGAGGTAATGATTTAGGGACAAAAGCACATTTGTGCCTGCCGTCAGACCTCTGCACTGCTCTCCATTTTGAGCCCGCTCCAAATAGTTTTTACCAGATGCATAAAATGATGCTGGGAACTTTGGGTTTGGTCATTCCCCTGTGTCTGAAAGTTGGACAATAGGCAAATGAATGAGAACGAGAGGAGTTTGTTTTCTGTGTTCTGTCTGTCCAGACTTCTGTTGGCTTAACCAGGTGTCTGCAGATATTAACCTTTGTCCCGGCCCGCAGTTGGAATCAACTTCCAGAAGAGATCAGATGTGCTAAAATATTAGTCACATTTAAATGCAGACTCAAAACTCATCTGTTTAGCTGTGCATTTATTGAATGAGCACTGTGTGATGTCCGAACTGATTGCACTATATTTTATGTATAATCGTTTTCTATTCTTAACCGTTTTAAATTCATTTTAAACCTCTTAAATCAAATTTTAAATAATTTTCGAAGTTTTTAAATTCCTTGTTTTATTGTTGTGATAATTTTTTTTCTTTTCTTTTATGCAAAGCACTTTGAATTACCATTGTGTATGAAATGTGCTATATAAATAAACTTGCCTTGCCTTGCCTGCAGGTGTTCCCAACATCAGCTACTAATCTGGACAAGTTCAGAAATATTGGTCTTCATCTGACCTTGAAACACATATCGGTAGCTGTGTGGGAAGTTTACTTGATATGACTAATGTTGCTTTAAGATGAAATGGTAGATCTGATAGATATGTAGTGCTTTAGTTTGTGGCAGCTGGTCATGAAGAAACCAGATGTCTGTCTTTGCTTCGGACTCTGATGACAGTCACAAGTTCACAACAAGCACATTTAGTGGAGAGGATCAGTTGTTGTGAGGTCTGTAAATATGTATGCAGTGAAAGGACCAGTTGTGTTGTTGGTTGTAATAAGTAGTTTACTAAAACACATTTGCCAATTCTCTTTGTCTTCATTGACAAGACTTAATATAGAAATAAATACACAGTCTCTGCTTTTGAATTGTATGAGTCCAGTAATGGGCATATGCATTTGCGTTTGAACTTTTGTCATTTTGTCACATCTTTGTGAAATATTCAAGTGTCTGATTTGGTCACTGTTCCACTGTAATTCAGGGTTGTGCACCGTTGAGAAATGAACTGAGAATGTCTTTGAAATTCTTATTCAGTTCCTGAATTTTAACTGAATTTGAAGCTAAGTTGTAAATAGGATACTGAGTTGCAATTCATTTTTAAATGTAATGAAGTAGAATTGAAATGAATTGAAATTCAAAGAAATTCATATGTCTGTATAACAAAAACTGAATGTTGGTTCAACAAAGCCTTGGTTGAAAGATAAAAAAGTTTATGTTTGAAAAAAGTTTATGATTGAAGATAATAAATTACCAGTGTTGAATTTCAGTTAAACTTCAATTTAACTAAATTTGACAATTCAACTGATATTCATGAATTGATAGAAACACAATTCTTCATTTCTGAATTTTGGACAACCCTGCTACAAGTGCATCCAGACAGAAAAGGGTCAATGAATTCAATTTCTTTGCTTTTGTTTTTCCATTTTTCAACAGTTAATCAAAGTCTGATGCCTTTTGGAGAGTCACATTCTCACACTCCCCAGTTGGTAGTCATACCTGAGATACCTGATGATCTTCTTCCTGTTGATGGGGAGAATGTTGTAGCAAGTGGAGATACCATGACCCCAACAGTCAGCTTCATAAATGGCAAGTTTGAGGTGACACTTCAGCCTAAAGATGTGGCAGAAGAAGTTAGAGGAGATACGTTTGGAAGTGATTCTCTTGGAGTACACAACTTAAGTGAACAAAAAGAAGCAACATTTAAATTTGATAGTTCATTAGTGGAGGCTGGCAGAACACCACATGAATCACTGGTTTCAGGATCCTCAGTAATGTCCCCCTTGTATTCCACAACCCTTCATCCAGACATTAATTTTGGCCCAGGAGGAATATTGGTAGAGTCCACTCCGCCATCTCCTCCCATAGCAATTAGCGAAGAGGAAACACTTGTATCTGAAGGAACTGTCATGCCAAACATTTTAACCTCCACCACTGAAAAGCAGCCTTCTGTAAAACCAGTACTCCCAATTAGATCAACAGATATTCCATTAGATCATGATGACACTACTAAGTCATCTATATCTTCTTCAGTGCACAGTACTGGCTCAGTAACAGAGGACAAAGTCAAAGATACAGTCGTTACAACACAGGTCATGGGAATGACAACTCAGAAAGATGACTCAATCAAAAAGACAACACACACAGTTGTTTCTGGCCTAGGGCCTACTTCTGCACATATGAACCGTTTGGATACAGATGAATCAGGCTTGAGTGTTCAGACAACTAAAGAGTTTAATTTGACATTACCAACTCAAGTACATAGTACAACAGCAACAAGAAAAAAGGACATAACATTTACATTTGTACCATCATCAAGTGAGACTCTTAAAATGCAGAAAGAGGCAACTTCAGAATTCATGACGCCATCAACAAAGAATTTAGAAATGACAACAACAAAACATAAGCTTTCACCATCACATTTTTCTTCTGTTTTACCATCTTCAGAGGCTTCAGGAGACGAGACTTTGTTTAGAACCACAACAATAAATTCTGCATTGTATACAATAACTAAATCAGACCAAGAACTGAGCAAAACCACAAAAACAATCTCAGTGTCCGGCTCAACAGATGCTGAGATCACAAGAGATCAGACAACTGAGAGACATAGTAAAAAACCTGTTTCCACTCTTGACTCTACTGAAACTAGCACAGAATGCATATTTATATCATTGAGCACTGGGTCTCTAGTTCCGACTGAAAGCACAGAAATAATCTCAGGGTCCAGCTCAGCAGATGCCGAGACTACAGGAGAACAGACAAATGAGGCATATAGTAGAGAACTTGTTTCCTCTCTTGACTCCACTGTAACAAGTACTGTCAGTACATTTACATCATTGAGCACTGGGGACTCGACAGGACAAACTGACACAAGTCAAGATATATCACATACAGCAACAACCACAGCTACTCTGATGGAGGACAAAAATCTGTCAGCAAAACCATCTGAATCCACCATGATTAATGTTACAGATACTCTTTTCTCCTCTGCTCAGACTGTACATTTAGATGAGACATTATCTGAAAGCACTGTTACAAGCACAATGATTACAGAAAAGACAACTGCCAAAGATGTGCTGTCACCGTCACATTTTACGTTAGTTTTGGCATCTTCTGAGCCTGAAGCCTCTGACATATTTAGCAAGAAGTTCACAACAAGTCCTTCATTGTACAGCGCAACCAAATCAGATCCAGATGACACCAAAACCACAGCGACAATTTCAGTGTCCAGCTTAACAGATGCTGAGGCCACAAGAGAAAAAACTGATCACTCAACAGTAAGAACAGTCACAAGTCAAGATATTACATTTCACACAGCAACAGCCGCAGCCATAACCATTGATGCTACAAAGACTCTGTTCTTCTCCACTCAGACTGAACATTTAGATGAGAAATTATCTGAAAGCAGTGCCACATTGACCTCAGAGATGACAACAGTAAAAGATGAACTGTCACTTGCAAGTTTTGCTTCAGTTATGCCATCAACGGAGTCTGAAGCTTCAGGAGATGAGACATCTGCCATGTTTAGCAAAGAATTTACAACAAGTTCTTCATTGTACAGCACAACCAAATCAGACAAAGAACTCAGCAAAACCACAGAAACTATCTCAGGGTCCAGTTCAACAGATGCTGATATCAAAAGAGATCAGATGACTGAGGGACATAGTAGAGGACCCGTTTCCTCTATTGGCTCTACTTCATCTAGCATAGTACATACATTTGAATCATTGAGCAATGGGGACTCAACAGCACGAACAGTCACAAGTCAAGATGTTACTTCACATACAGCAGCAACCACAGCTACTATGATGGAGGACAAAGACCTGTCAGCAAAACCATCTGAATCCACAATCATTAATGTTTCAGAGACTTTGTTCTCCTCTGCTCAGACTGGACATTTAGATGAGACATTATCTGAAAGCACTGTTACAATGATTCCAGAGAAGACAACTGCCAAAGATGTGCTGTCAACATCAAGCTTTTCTCCAAGTTTGCCATCTACAGGGTCTGAAGCTTCAGGAGATGAGACCTCTGATATGTTTAGCAAAGAGTTCACAGCAACAAGTTCTTCACTTTATTCTTCAGCCAAATCAGACCATGAACTTACCAAAACAACATCTCACACGACAGAAACAATCTCAGTGTCCAGCTCAACAGATGATGAAGCTACAAGAAGTCAGTCACCTGATGTGCTTACTAGAGAACCTGTTTCCTCTCTTTATTCTTCTTTAACTAATACCGTACATACGTTTACATCATTAAGCACTGGGGAATCAACAGGACAAACAGTTACAGGTAAAGATGTTAAATCTCATGCAGCAACAACTACAGCTACTATGATGGAGGAGAAAGATCTGTCAGCAAAACCATCTGAATCCACAATCATTAATGTTTCAGAGACTCTGTTCTCCTCTGCTCAGACTCAACATTTAGATGAGAAATTATCTGAAAGCACTGTTAAAATGATTCCAGAGAAGACAACTGCCAAAGATGTACCATCATCAAGTTTTTCTTCAAGTTTGCCATCTACAGAGTCTGAAGCTTCAGGAGATGAGACCTCTGATATGTTTAGCAAAGAGTTCATAACGACAAGTTCTTCACTTTATACTTCAGCCAAATCAGACCATGAACTTACAAAAACATCATATGACAGCACAAAAATAATCTCAGTGTCCAGCTCAACAGATGCTGAAGTTACAAGAGCTCAGACAACTCAGACACATAGCAGAGAAACTGTTTCCTCTCTTGAATCTACTGTAACTAGTACTGTACATACATTTTCATCACCAAACACTTGGGACTCTACGGGAGAAACAGTTACAAGTAAAGATGTTATATCTCATACAGCAGCAACCACAGCTACTCTAATGGAGGAGAAAGATCTGTCAGCAAAACCATCTGAATCCACAATCATTAATGTTTCAGAGACTCTGTTCTCCTCTGCTCAGACTGGACATTTAGATGAGACATTATCTGAAAGCACTGTTAAAATGATTCCAGAGAAGACAACCGCCAAAGATGTGCTGTCAACATCAAGTTTTTCTCCAAGTTTGCCATCTACAGAGTCTGAAGCTTCAGGAGATGAGACCTTTGATATGTTTAACAAAGAGATTACAGCAACAAGCTCTTCACTTTATTCTTCAACCAAATCAGACCATGAACTTACCAAAACATCATCTCACATGACAGAAACAATCTCAGTGTCCAACTCAACAGTTGCTGAAGCTACAAGAAGTCAGTCACCTGATGTGCTTACTAGAGAACCTGTTTCCTCTCTTTACTCTACTTTAACTAATACCGTACGCACGTTTACATCATTAAGCACTGGGGAATCAACAGGACAAACTGTTACAAGTAAAGATGTTACATCACACACAGCAGCAACCACAGCTACTCTAATGGAGGCGAAAGATCTGTCAGCAAAACCATCTGAATCCACAATCATTAATGTTTCAGAGACTCTGTTCTCCTCTGCTCAGACTCGACATTTAGATGAGAAATTATCTGAAAGCATTGTTACAATGATCTCAGAGAAGACAACTGCAAAAGATGTACCGTCATCAAGTTTTTCTTCAAGTTTGCCATCTACAGATTCTGAGGCTTCAGGAGATGAGACCTCTGGTATGTTTAGCAAAGAGTTCACAATGACGACAACTTCACTTTATACTCCAACCAAATCCGACACTGAACTTATCAAAACATTATCTGACATGACAGAAAAAATCTCAGTGTCCAGCTCCACAGATGCTGAAGCTACAAGAGATCAGACAACTGAGACATATATTAGAGAACCTGTTTCCTCCCTTGACTCTACTGTAACTAGTACTGTACATACATTTTCATCACTGAGCAATGGGGACTCAAAGGGAGAAACAGTTACAAGTAAAGATGTTACTTCACCTATAGCAACAACCACAGCTACTATGATGGAGGACAAAGATCTGTCAGCAAAACCATCTGTATTCACCATTATTAATGTTTCAGAGACTCTGTTCTCCTCTGCTCAGACAGAACATTTAGATGAGAAATTATCTGAAAGCACTGTAATAATGATCTCGGAGAAGACAACTGCCAAAGATGTGCTGTCACCATCAAGTTTTTCTTCAAGCTTGATTCCCATGGAGTCTGAAGCTTCAGGAGATGACACTTCTGATATGTTTAGCAAAGAGTTCACAACAAGTTCTTCACTTTATACTCCAACCAAATCAGATCATGAACTTACCAAAACATCATCTGACATTACAGAAACAATCTCAGTGTCCAGCTCAACAGACGCCGAAGCTACACAAGATCAGACAATTGAGACACATAGTAGAGAACCGGTTTTCTCTCTTGACTCTACTGTAACTAGTGCTGTACATACATTTTCATCACTGAGCACCAGGGGCTCAACAGGAGAAACAGTTACAAGTAAAGATGTCACATCTCATTCAGCAACAACCACAGCTACTCTAATGGAGGACAAAGATCTGTCAGCAAAACCATCTGAATCCACAATCATTAATGTTTCAGAGACTCTGTTGTCCTCTGCCCACACTAGACATTTAGATGAGAAATTATCTGAAAGCACTGTTACAATGATATTGGAGAAGACGACTGTCAAAGATGTACTGTCACCATCAGGTTTTTCTTCAAGTTTGCCACCTACAGAGTCTGAAGCTTCAGGAGATGATACCTCTGATTTGTTTAGCAAAGAGTTCACAACAAGTTCTTCACTTTATACTCCAACCAAATCAGATCATGAACTTACCAAAACATCATCTGACACAACAGAAACAATATCAGTGTCCAGCTCAACAGATGCTGAAGCTACAAGAGATCAGACAACTCAGACATACAGTAGAGAACCTGTTTCCTTTATTGCCTCTACTGTAACTAGTGCTGTACATCCATTTTCATCACTGAGCAATGGGGACTCAACAGGAGAAACAGTTACAAGTAAAGATGTTAAATATCGTACAGCAGCAACCACAGCTACTCTAATGGAGGAGAAAGATCTGTCAGCAAAACCATCTGAATCCACAATCATTAATGTTTCAGAGACTCTGTTCTCTTCTGCCCACACTAGACATTTAGATGAGACAGTATCTGAAAGCACAGTACCTACTATAGACCTGACCAATGCAAACTCAGTGTGGTTCTCAACTGATGCAAATATCCCAAGAATTAAGCCAACAGAGAGACATCACACAGAATCTGTTTCCACTTTTGTCTCTAATATCTCAGAAGAAAAAGTTCAGCAAGAGGTTTCCAGTGATGAAGTCAGAATTACACTGGCAACTAAAGCATATGATCATTATATTGTAGCCACTGATGAGGCAGAAATTCATGAGACTGACCACACATCAGAGCCAGAAAAACCTGAAAGTTCTTCACATTCCACTTCATCAACAAATGGATTGTTTTCAAGCACTGTTCAAACTGTAGTTACAGACTCCTATTCTGAACAAGGTAGTGGAGATATTGCAGAAAATGAAGTGGCTGAAGATGATGGCTCAGTTGAAATATCATCTGCTGTTGTAGAATCAATACCTCACATTCCTACACCATCAGAGGACAAGCCAACTGCTGTTGGTTTTGAGTCAGCTCCTGCTTCTGGAGTGCAGCCATCAGAAAACATGACAGCAACAATAAATGTTACAACAACTGTAAGTGGAGAACCTATAGCAAGCTCATTTTTTACACTCACAGAGGTAGAAGGCTCTGGTCAGCAGACACCAGAGAGGTTCACCACAGCTCCCTCATCTATGATCAGAACAGTCACAAGTCAGGAGGTCATGACATCTCAAAGAGAGTTTGCCTCTTCAATGACTGAATTTAGAGAAGAACCTAGCACCCACCATGCAACAGAAGTAGTTAGCTCAAGTTACACAACAACAGAGCAGGTTAGTACAAGACTCGCAGAGATCTCAGTGTCTTCTAGACCTTCTCATACTATTACTCAATCACAGTTGACTAAACACACCGCAGAATCAATTATTAGTCATACTGCAATTGGATCAGGTAAACCTAGTCTCACTTTTGTGGCAACAGAAGATGACCACACCGCACCTTCAGCTATCCAAACAACGACTGTTCCTTTCAAGCACATCCAAACATCAACAGTCACTGCCAGTTACGAAGCAACTTCAGCTCTTCTCAGGACAAAAACAATGTTTACATCTTCTAGCAAAAGCCTTAGCATTCACACAACAATTTCATCTGATGCAGAGGATGACACAACAGATGATGAAGGATCAGGGGTGTCCCCTGTCATGCATGTTTCATCAGCAGCCATCAAAACTCAAACTGGTTCTCCTACAGTTCTTATAACTAGCACTGGCTTCACAGAACTCCACAAAGACATCACCATAACACAAAATTCAAGCCCTATCACATCTACCTTTGTAGACAGAGAAGGCTCTGGTATTGTAGAAGATGACCAAGAAACTACTCAACTAGAAGGTTCTGGTGAAGAGGACAGTGTGAGTCCAACAGAGGAAATGTCTGACAATTATACTGATGAGGCAGAAATCAGTGAGGCTAACCGCACATCAGAGCCAGGGAGTTTTGTAAGTTCCTCCCATTCCACGTCCTTCACAACTAAATCAACGTTGTTGTCTAGCACTGTCCAAACAGCAGTGAGATCGTTATCTACTGAAGGTAGTGAAATAACAGCTGAAAGTGAAGTGGATGAAGATGATGGCTCTAGTGGTGAAATATCCCCAGCAGCTCTTGAGTCAATTCCTCCTCAATATATACCCTCTGAGGACAAAACAACTTCAACTAAAGTCACACAACCACATATAACTGAAGCTGCAACACCTGCTGTAATACTGTCAAGCACATCTGAGGCTTTATCAGGTTCTGAGACTCTAAAGAGTACCTTAGAGCCAAACGCTCCAGAAACCGATTTAAATGGGTTTGAATTATCAACCCAGAGGATTATCATCACAGAGGATGACAAGGAATTTACCTCACCAGGAGATCCTACTGCTGAGATATACAAAACATCAACAACTAAGGCATATGAGGACCTAACTGTAAGAACTGATGAGGCAGAAGTTGAAGAGATGGAGAAGAAAACAGGTTTCTCGAGTGCTGCATCTGTCACTAGCAGTACAGATTTAACACATCAGTCAACTTTATCCCCATCTCCCTCATTCCTGACCTCTACCCAGTCAACTGTAACGCTTGCAACTTCACTTTCAGAGGATGGCAGTTGGGAAGACTCAACTGAGGGGGATGGAGCAGAAGATGATGGATCAGGTGATGATTCAACTCTTGTGACATCTTCACCTTTGCTATCGAGCTCAAAGATGACAGAAACAACCATTAGCATGACACCCTTTAGCTCAGTCAACAGTGGACAGTACAGTACAGCCAGAGTTGTTTCACAGGGACACACGTTCTCAAGCACAAATGCTGAAGATTTCACTCTGGTCTCAGTGACAGCACCGACAGAGCAGGAACATTCTGGAGTTTCTGTCTCAGATATAGCAGCCACTAGCTTTACAACTCCTGGAACACCATCTGGTGTGATAACAAGCCACACTAAATTGCCTTCTTTCGTGACACCTCAAGATCCTGTGTCCACCACTACTCCATTGGTCTTGTCTAAGGACAGTGCTGATCAGCAAGTCACTCCAACAAGTCCAGTCTTAATATTCACAGAGGAGGAGGAAGATGAAGATAAGCTACTTTCAACTGTTACAGAGCGTATAAGAGATGATAGCATCAAACCAGAAGTTTTCACTAAGGATGACATGATTATTGATGCAGATACTTTGTCTGTTTTAGAGCAGTCTTCTCCCTTCGCCCCTACAATTGTTACAGAAGAAGCAGCTGGGGTAACCCCAATTGTCATGACGGCACAACCCTCAAGCTTTATGACAGAGGAGCCAGAAGGATCTGGAATGGATGGCACTGAGTTACCTCATTTACGTGTGTCATTTGAAACCACAGCAGACAGGTTAATAGTTCAACAAACCCAATCAACCGCAGACATCCTGCTGAGCAGTTCAACATATTTAGAAGAGGACACACAAGCAACACAATCTCCTGAGGCTACTGATGCTGATGTACCTGAACACACACAAGATGGTCAGACCTCCACAGAATCCACAGAACTTACAGACACTTTGTCTACGGATGATTGTATTCTGGAAACATCCACTTTAACCCCCATGACATCTCAAGTGTCCACTGACAGAGTCACAGAGATGTTCTCAGCTGAAGAGGACTCATCTGAAGATGTATCAACACATACTGGAGATGATGTAACATATGCCCCATCAAGTTCTGGAGAAAGTGTTTCTTCACAATATCCAGGTGATATCACAGACTCTGAACAGTCAGTTTCTCCAGTATTGGATTTAACAAGCACTGCATCTTTCCATACTGCATCAAGTGCTAGCATGACTGAACCTGCCAAAACGACTACAAGTACATACACAAAAACAGCAGCAACTGATGATAATGACTTAACAGCTGACACAGAGGAAACATTGTACATGACAAGTGCTGATGACATTGAACTCAGTAGTCCCTCTACTGATAAGGTAATTCAGGGAAGTGAATTAACAAGCACAGATGTATCAACTAGATCTGGTATTTCAGAGGAAACCACAAGTGCGTTATTTTCTTCAACAGATTATGGCTCAGGTAATCAAACAATTGAAATGGTTACAGGACTGTCTGATTTAACAGACTCTCCTTTAATATCTGAAGATGATTCGTTGTCATCATCTGTGGAGAGTGATATTGTGATTCACTTTGCAACAACCTCTTTGCCTGAAGCAATTACAGTAACTGATGGGGAACCATATCACCAAGCTTTGTCCGAGATGACAGTGACACATAAGCCCAACACAGACATCAGGATTGATGAAGATGTGCCATCTCCATCAACAACCATTCCTACACCTCTTATATCTGCATCAAAGTTTAATATGACTACAGACACAGTAACATTAGTGGGATCTCCTTCATCTACATCCATACCAGGGCTGGGTGACAAAACAGGAGCTCCACTTTCCTCTGAGGAAGAGACAGATGAAATAATCGATTATGATACAAAAACTGAACCTTACATAACAGTATATTCCATACCAGATTTAATGAACAAAACAAACACTGACAGTGAGACTGACTTAGACGTTAGCTCAGAAGATGTGACTAGCATTGATGACATCACCCAACCTGAAGGTGAAAAGAGTTTACCCACCTCACAGCCTGATGTTGAGACTGGTTTTGAGACCACCTCACAACCTGATGTTGAGACTTGAAATAATCGATTATGATACAAAAACTGAACCTTACATAACAGTATATTCCATACCAGATTTAATGAACAAAACAAACACTGACAGTGAGACTGACTTAGACGTTAGCTCAGAAGATGTGACTAGCATTGATGACATCACCCAACCTGAAGGTGAAGGTTTTGAGACCACCTCACAGCCTGATGTTGAGACTGGTTTTGAGACCACCTCACAGCCTGATGTTGAGACTGGTTTTAAGACCACCTCACAGCCTGATAGTGAGACTGGTTTTGAGACCACCTCACAGCCTGATGTTGAGACTAATTTTGAAATCACCTCACAGCCTGATGTTGAGACTAGTTTTGAGACCTCCTCAAAACCTGAGGAGGACAGTGCAACAAGTGTTGATGGAAAAACACAAGCAGAAGTTTTGAATACTGAGACCACCTCTCAGCTTGACACTGAAACAAGCTTTGAGACTACCATGCAACTAGACATTGAGAGTGAAATTACTTTTGAGAGTGTTTCAAGAACTGAGAGTGATGCTTCATTCACCGGCTCACCAAACAGTGGAACAAGTGGTTCAGAGAGAAGCACATCTGGGGAGGTAAACACCATATCTTCCAATAAGCATCACACCACAACCAGACTTTCTAATTTCACAGATAAACCAAGTTCCACTGCTATAAGTGAAGAGAAATTCTTGGAAGAAAGAGTTGACACAGGATTCAGCACCACCATACAACCTCAATTTGATGGTACTGTAACTTCCATTAGTTTGAAGAGCTTCTCAGAGGAGAATTCGGTTATTATCCCATCATCTGATGAGGTCCAGGCAGTAATTCTGTCTACTGCAACAACCTCACCTTTAATTATGACACCTGAGTCTGATATAAAGATTGTTAGTAAGGAAACTGCCTCAAGGAAACAAGAGGCTGCTGGTCAGATTGAGGAAGCTGTAACTCTTACATCTGAGATTCCAATTCAAAATGAATATCAGATGACATCGTCAGTACCTACAACCCAAAGCGAGATTACAACACCATTTTCCTCCCTTGAAGACGTTTCTGAGGCCGCTTTGGTTAAAAGCCCACCTCCAAGTGCACAGAATGAAAGCACAACACACAGTACAGCAGACCTTCCATACACAATGATCGGGCAGACGTTTGATATTCCAGGTAGGATGTAAACACTGTTTTAAAGACCCAATTAACAGAATGCATATACTGTACTTTCTATACCTATACCATTATTTTTGTATGACATACCTTTATCCTCCCGCTCTTACTGCAGATGTTCACTCCTGTTCTGCTGATGTTTGCTTGAATGGCGGTTCTTGTGTAAAAATAGGCGGTATTCAGATCTGCAGCTGTCCACCTGGATATAATGGTAACCAGTGTGAAATAGGTATGCTGTATTAGTGTTTCATTCATTTATTAAAGGTGCACTACAGAACTTTGTGCTCAATATTGCCATCTGTGGCGAAACATAAAATGACAAGTTACATATTTTGCATCAGCTGTGTTTGGCACTGCTGTTCTGCTTGAATGAATTTGATAGTTTGAGCCATGAAGTATCATGTCTGTCGCTGTAGTACCAGACCTTCTTTACTCTATTTATGGAAATGATGTAACTATACCCAGGCTAAAGCTGTAAACCATAAATTTCCCACCAAATTCATGACTGCCTAAAATATCAATTATTATTGTATACTTGACAGTTTTTGTCTTACCCTGATTCACTTAGGCATCAAACACTTATTTTTATTTCTTGATCGATAATGGGATTTTGCTCAATTTTAAACAAAAAAGTCTTCTGTAGTGCACCTTAAAATGATTATTAACTCCAACTAATTATAATGCACATAAGTAAATTTTTTTCTCACCTTATTTTAATTGATTTTTATAGACATTGATGAATGTCACACAAACCCTTGTCGTAATGGAGGAACATGTATTGATGGCCTTAACTCATTCACCTGTGTATGTCTTCCAAGTTATGCAGGAGCACTGTGTGAGCAAGGTAAGATCATATTAATTTAACATAATCACTTGTTCAAGTTCAACTTGCTGATAACTTGTGAAGCTACTGTAGCCACATAGACTGCTGTGAAGATATACCATGTAAACCTCTAAACTTTCAAATGATTTCATCATTAATAAAAATACTCAGATATTCCTGGCAGATATGAGTTTGGTAAATGTGACTCATGGTTTGGTAGATCCTGATAGATAATAGATTTTTACTTGATGTAAGAAACTGTGTTTGTTCCAAAACTGTTGTATACTAGCAGACAGACATAATTATGCTGTACTTTCCACTAATTAAGAGGATACAGTTTTTTAACCTTCTCATTTGAGCACAGCTGTTAAGACCATCACTCTTTCTCTTATTACTCTGTAGATATTAATTTACACTTTACACGAGTGAGGTTACTTTCTTGAGAGTTTCATCCCCTTCAAAGTATTTATACACAATAACATTTTAACAGTGAAATCTCTTCAGTTTAACTAGCATCTGGCTTTTGCCAGAATTAAAACAAATGAAAGCCGATGTCATGAGTGCATTACTCTCTTGAGTACTCTGAACATGATTTTCATCTCAAACTTGAGATAGCATCAACATTACAGAAACAAAGAAGTCTCCTGCACAGTGGCTTAGTCTCAGCTGCTTACAGAGAAAGCAGAAAGGCAGAAAATGCCACTAAATGCAATAAATGCTAAATGATAAGCCAAAAATCACAAGTCAACATTGCTTCATGCATTTTCACATGCATTTGTACTGATGCTATGGATGATTTGATGGTTAATGATATATTAATGAGAGTTTTAATAGTTTTATTCTTTGGTATAGTTTATTCTTTGTTGCAGTAGTGACACATCAGCACAATCACACACATGATCCACAAGCAGTCAGTAAGTGCATTTACAAGCACTTTAAAAGTTTGCTTTCAGCTGAACTAAAACAATAATTTGTCTTTCTAAAATATCATGTGAGTCTGACTGAAGTTTTACCAGCAGAGACTGTAGCTCAAAAACCAGCTTTAGCTTGATTATAACAGTGCACATAAACATACTTACTGTGACTGATAGGACACACTTTATTTGCAAATTTAATATGATCATAGTATCAAATGCTGATCTAGGAACTTTAAAATCCTTTGTCAACAAGACTAATAAATTGCTGGGTTCATAATATACTTACTTTAAAACTATGAATTTTTCCAAATGGTTAGTGGCTGTTTTACAGGTCTGCTTTGATCCAATGCCTCTTTCTTAAACAATGCCTCAGAGCAAAGCACCCAATCTTCACCATGGCACTGTAGCCATTCTTATGCAAAAATTAATTGGCTTCCTGATATGATAGACACAAGGGTGTAGCTCTTGCTCTAAGTGATCTCGTTTAACTGACATGTAATTTAAAACGAGGATGAAAGGGAGTTATAACATATTCCCTCAGGTCCAGTGTGAGTGAGAAATCTGAACAAAAAAAACAAAGGTTTGATTTATTTTACTGATAACAGCCTCACAGTGTAAGCCAAAGGTAAAGGACTAATAAAAAGAAATTGACAGTAGACAATATCAAGCACCTTTTTTCACTTCCAGCAACATGATTATCTCAGTTTCAGTGTCTACATGTCAAGTTTATGTGTAGCGCATCAACAAAAACTCATGCATGATTTTCTACAGACACTGAAACATGCAGCTACGGCTGGCACAAGTTCCAGGGCCACTGCTACAAATTCTTTCCTCATCGGCGTAACTGGGACACAGCAGAGCGTGAATGTCGTCTCCAGGGGGCACACCTTGCTAGTGTCCTGTCCCATGAGGAGCAGCAGTACATCAACCGTGAGTATACATAAACCAAGTTATGGTCATTCTGTCTAATATCATCAGCTCTAATCAGTTACATTTACATGCAAACTAACAGTTATTTATGAGGAAGGATGCTTGTTTTTTGATGCTTGATCAGAGTTATGGAATATTCCACTGGCTCAGGAATTTTTAGCCAAAGAGGACTTTAGAGTTTACAGGGGTCCTATTATGCTCTTTTACAATGTCTTGAATTTGTTTTGGGGGTGTACTAGAACATGCTCTCATGCTTGGTGGTTCGAAAAACACATTATTTTTTACATAATTTACATTATTACAACACCTCTCTCCCCATCCTGGCACAAACGGCTCGATTAGTTCCGGGTTTGATGAACGCCCGCCTTCCGAAAAACGAAATGTGATGTGATTGGTTAGCTATCCCAGTGCGTTGTGATTGGCGAACAGCTTTTAGACGGTGTTTCAGTATTGCCCCACCCCTTGCCAAAGCAGCAAGTTTAGTTAAGAATGGCGTCAATATTGCCATATCAATTTGAGCCGGATTCAGACCCAGAGAATATTGAACAAGAGGATCGCGCAGAACCTTTGCACGCACGGATATTGCAAGACATATTAGAGTGGTAACGTTATTGTTGTGTTTTTTTTGTGGCTAAATCACGTTTTAGATAGGATGTCAACAACCGCTTAAAAATAACTGCATTACTATACAGATAAGTGCATATGAATTATTTTTTATTGTTCTTTAATTCTAACATTATAACATGAATTACAGTGAAACTGTTATACAGTTGAATTTATTTATACCATAGTCCAGTGTTTCCTAGGCGGCATATATGTGCAAACTCATTCTCTGCCAGCAGGAGGCGCTGAGTGGTAGAGATCAAGGTTTCCCCAGTAACAGCTGTACACAAAGCAGTGCTCCGCTCAAAAAAACACTGATTTATCAGACATTACATGCAAGATTAAAAGAAAATGACATCCAATATTCTGAAGACAGTCGGTTTCATTCAGAAATACAGTGATATAAAAACACCCGCACTCAATGTATGGGAAAATTAGTTGGGCACTGGTAAACTTAATATCTTAAGTGTACCCAACATTTTAGTTGAACTGACTTAGGAAAATGAGTTGGGGAAGCTAAAGTCTCAAATCCTTTTTTACAGTGTACAGCAGCACTTCTTCTTCGTCGTCTTGTCTGATGCACTCAACCAAGCGTTCTAACCACGACCTCGCCCCTCCCCAACCCCCAACCATTCGAATTTCCGTAGGCTGGAATTATTTTTAATGATATTCTAATGGGCCGCTTTGTGATATCACAAAACCCGGAAAACAAACGCTGTAGTCCAAACGAGCCGTTCGTTGTAGTTCTTGAAAAGGGATTTTTTTTAAAACGAAATGTCTCCCTTTGGAGTGGACTCTGAGATTTGTAAGTTTGAAGATCTTTTTTATGCCCAAACATACACACTAAACACTGACTACAATTCAAAAAGTGTAAAAGCATAATAGGACCCCTTTAAAGAAAGGTTAGTTTATCACCAATAACAAAGGGGCCAAATGCTGCTCCAGCCCTAGATGCAGGAAGTGTGATGTATAAGAACAAAAATGCCTTTTATTTTTAACCACTGACAAAGAGTTCCTAATATGGCTGGTGAATTGACTTTTGTTTCTCTCTCCTCTTGTAGGCCTTGGCCATGACTACCAGTGGATCGGTCTGAATGATAAGATGTTTGAGAATGATTTCCGGTGGATGGATGGTAGTGTTGTGGTAAGAACAGTCTTCAAAATGTTCTTATTCTGTTTTAGAAAGATGGCATTGATACACACATTTATTAGTGGACAATGTAGAGGAAATCTTTATAAAGTCTCCTTGTATTTTCCATGATGCTTGCAGATTTTTTTCTTTAAAAAGCTATTAATTTAAATAACATTAGTAATTTTAGCAAGGATTTGTTAATGTGAAAAAAGACATATGCAACCATCTCCCTGGTTCTAGAGGTGTTCCTCCATTGAACAGGAAAGTGGCTAATTACAGTCGTTTAGTCCTGACTGGGATCTCACTTCAAAGATAACGGCAGCATTTTGTGGGGAAGGGCCAAAAAGCCCTGGAGGGCAGGAGATAGGAGTTTTCATCTGTGGAAGTCCTCTCAGGACTGGAGGATCAAAATAAATAAGGGTAGAGGAAGCTTACAGGTGTGGACAGGTAATGGAGGTGTGAAGGATGAGCAGCACCTGGAACAGGCTACACTAGATACAGTCCAGACCTAAAATGTGAGTGTGTGACAGTTCAGTCCAGTTGGCATCAGTGAGGGGCTATAAACATGTCCTCTGGAGTTTGCAAGCACTCTTATTGTATTCTGTATACAGAAGAGTTACTATATTAAGAGTTAATGTTTGGTAATGTATTTAAGTATGTGCCATTGGAGTTATCCAGAGGGTCAAAAATTGCATTACATCAATTTTCAAGCAGGAAGCGCACATTCCTTTTGTAAGAGGATAATAACAGGACTTGTTGGGTGATTGGTGTAGTATTCAAAGGGTTGCTGAAAGACCAGAGCTCCAACCTGTCTCGGTTGGGTATAATTACGTAATGTTTAATATATGTGCAAACTTCACAGTTTTAATTTAGGATAAAAAAAATAGATATGGAAGAGTGCCAATATACATTTTAAATTCATATTATTGTTATGCTAAAACAATATACTGTACAATTTAATCTCAGCAGACTAAGAGTCTGTTGTGTAGTTGCTGCAGTATAAACAGTATCTGGAATAGTACCTCAAAACACTTTAAATCTGTTTAAATATATCAGCTCAAGTCCACTGTAAACTGTCCACTGTGTTTGTCTTTGCAGGCTTTATTAGATACTTTCTTTATAGGTTGGTCTTTTCAATTGCTACTCTCTTCTCAGTGCATTCACCCACAGCTGAGAGAGATGACGAATGTGTATGAAGGGAGGAAATACACTGAATAAAGTTGGTCCATGATGGTTGAATATAGATGTATTACTATAACTACAACTATAACTACTATCTTCCAAATGCATTATACCACTCACTGCAGCTGCTTATTGCAGTTTAGTGGTGATGTGTGTACGTAGCGCCCCCTACTGGAGTGTGTCTGTATCATTATCATTATCATTTTATTGCCTTTCTTATGTGCTCCATACAAAGACAGTCATACTCTGCTTGAACGCTTTTGATTGCTTTCACACTGTATATCACAAATATTCATTTTTTTAATTTATGCCATAATTCTGTCATTTTGACCTAGAAAGGATTTTCTCCCCAACCCAATAAAAATTCAATTTTTTTCCCTTCAAATAATAATTTTAGTACTTTTGGGGATTTCCCCCACCTTGTTACATTTGTGGTGCTACTGGTCAAAAATGACTGGCCTATAAAAAATTGCTTTACATTTCTCGTTATGCTAAATTATTACCAAATCGTGGATTTAAACTACTTATCAACTTGTTTTCTTTGTTACCATAGGCCTCGTTGATCTGAGTGTATGCACCTTAGTTTTTGAGTGAGCATTGCCAAAACTATCCACAAATAATGCTATTTCACTCAAAAACCGAGTTGCAAGGTCCAAGAAGAAATGCAAATCATGTGCTAATTGAAATAAAACAAGTTGACAAAACAAACAAACAAAAAAGAATACAAGATTTGGTGATAATATAACATAATGAGAGATTTACAAGCATTTTTTAAGTTATCGTTTTCAACCGGGAACACCAAATTAGGTAAAGGATTTTTTGGGAAATGTGGATCTGAATATAGATGAGCTATAATAGTGCAACTGACATAAATATTCAAGAACCACAGGTGTGTATGCATGCATCCTGCTGCATACGGAAAAAATAAGAATTCATACATATGGATGTAAAAGAATATATACAGCACAAACAGTATATTCCTGTTTTGAGCCAGGTTGTATTTTAAGTTGTGCAGATGTGTTGAATGCAATTTCTTTTAAACACTCCAAAAACACATTGTCATAACTCAAAGTGTATCATAATGTAATTACTATAATGTATCTGAAATGTATTTCTATAGTATAATTGTCTCGCTCACATTAACTTTTTCATCTCTATCCATATTCCTCTCCTGCAGCAATATGAAAACTGGAGACCGAACCAGCCAGACAGTTTCTTTTCCTCAGGGGAGGATTGTGTGGTAATGATCTGGCATGAGGATGGCCAGTGGAATGATGTTCCCTGCAACTACCACCTCACCTTCACCTGCAAGAAAGGCACAGGTGAACTTTTAGCACCTGGATGAGGGGCATTTCTAAAATAATAGGGCATGCATAGGCATACATTTATTTTCAGTCTAAATTCCATCAGTGGTTTTTAAATAAAAATGTTGTATAATAGGGACTCTGTGAAAATTTGGATGACTGCTGTACCCTAAGATGATATGTCTTTGGTTGTTTATAGACAGGAAGAGAGCAGTTTTCTTGGATTTGTCTCCAGTGGTTTAAAGCAGCTAAAATTTTAAAATAACATTTCAGATTCAGTCCTCCATTACTGATGGCTACCCTATTATGTGCCGTTTTCAACAGTGTCCTGCAGTCAGCCTCCTCTTGTCCTTAACGCCCGCACATTTGGCCAGCTGCGCCCACACTATGAGATCAACTCCCTGATCAGGTACCAGTGCATGGATGGCTTCATCCAGAGACATGTTCCCACCATTCGCTGCAGAGGAGACGGCTCATGGGACTTGCCCAGGATTTCCTGCATGAGTCGTAAGTATTCTGTGAAAATCTATCGCAACAACACTTTTTTACAACAACCATCCCTATAGAGCTTGAATGATCATTTTATATACTCTGGTTTGAGTATATATATACACTACTATTCAAAGGTTTGGGTTGGTAAGATTTAAAAAAATGTCTATGTTCACCAAGGCAGTACATATACAGTACAATACAGTAAAAACTAATATTATGAAATATTATTGCAATTTAAAATAAATGTTTTTGGTTTTAATATATTTTGAAATGTTATTTTTTCCTGTGATGGCAAAGCCGAGTAACTCAAGTCTTCAGTGTCACATGATCCTTCAGAAATCATTCTAATATGCTGATTTGGTGCTCAAGATGCGTATTATCATCCATGTTAAAAACTGTTGAGCTGCTTAATGTTTTGTGTGAGGAAAAAAAAAGTACTGATCCCAAACTTTAAAACAGTAGTGTGCATATATGATATATTTTTATACATTAAAGTTATATATATATATATATTATATATTAATTTAATTTAATGTACTTGTATTTTCTTTCCAGCCTCCAACTTCCAAAGGTCCTATGCAAGGTATCAGACATACAGAGTTTTTCGCAGCCATCAGAAGAGATTGGCAGAAAATTCTGTTGATGTACCCCGACGACACCATCGCCATGGTGTAAAACACAGTCGGACGCAACAATAGTTGCTCTTTTAACACAACCCGTTTAATGTATTTTGATAGCATATGACGGATCTGCCTGCTGGCTGAAAGAAAAGATTATAAAAGAAAAGATTATTAAAAGGACCAGCAAGGAGTGGAATATCACTGGAATGAAACAGTGGCTTTTTATCTTTTTCAGAGAGATGGTTTTTAAGAACTACATAAAGGACACATTCAGCTGGCCTCTGAAAACACAAAAAGATTATCTGACCTGCCCTCCATCTGTTCTGCTTCTTTTTGGGAATACACAGTGCTTTCGTAATTTTTAACTCACAATCCAGATGCAAGTGAGCTATAATAGTGCAACCTATTTTAGCTTCTAAACATAATGGTACAGTTTGATACACACTTTGCCGTATGATTCTTTCGATCTTTCTTCAAGTTTACAAGAACCACAGGTGTATGCAGACATCCTGCTGCTTACTGAACAAATGAGAAATCGTACATAAAAATGTGAAAGAATATATATTTATATAGAGAGAGTGAGCAATGGCTCACATGGAGTCAGTGTTTGTTGTGGTACAAAAAGGCCAATAATATCATTAAAAAACTGCATCCAGTGCAGTGGATGGTTTTGATATCTTAAAGTCAACACAATATGTTTTAATACTTTTAATACATTGACTTTAAGCTATTCGCTATTGAAAAGCCATGTAGATTTTAGATTATTTATAGTCCTCTCTTTGATGTTTCTTTCAAGTGTTTACAATGCAAATCTATTTCACATACATTTAATTCCGCCGTCAGTTATCTATAAACCAAAAGAAACTTGCTGTATGTACTTCACATCATTTTCATCAACTTTCATGTTTTTCTCAGACAGTTTAAAACTACTTTAAAGAGAATGTACTTTGTGAGATGCGTAAAAGACTTGAGCGAGTGCCTTTTTAACAAGATGCCTACAATTTATTTCTTGAGCTGCTCCTTGTTTTCTCATTGTTGTAGCGAGATTGAACACACTGAGGACTTCACTTGGCCAAACTGCACATTGATAGAGTTCAGTATATTAGAGTAGAGGACAGTGTGTCAATAGCTGGTAGTGATGTGACTAATAGATGACATTTGGAACTCACAGAATTTAGATGGATTTCATTATGACATTTGGGGTGTATCAATGGACCAAAAGAAGAGGATTCATAGTAACAGGTTTAGCAGAATTTTTTGTTGAACTGGTCATCCATTTGTTTATTCCCAAGCATTTTTTCTTTAAGATCTTTTCTTTTGTGTGTTTACTTGTTGTGTCTGTTTTTATTATTTTTTTTATTTTACATTTTTTTCCCCCTCTCAAAAGTGCACATCTTTTTATATTTATAGTATAACTTGTTTATTGTCAAATGTGATTGCCTGGAATGTTTGTGAAATGGAAAAATTGTAAGGAATGTTTTTTTATGCCTTCTGTGTAAACAAAGTTTATTATATTCTACTTGCATTCCTGGTCTTTTTGTGTTCTGATATGAAGTGAATTTTGGCCTATTGGAAGGGCTTAATGATAGAGAGAGAGTAGTTAATAATATGGGGTGTAATTCGAAATATTTTTACATTGACAAATCTAATATTTAATATAACATTAATCTATATAACAATATAATAAAATACACAGTGACAGGAGTAAGCGGACTGTATGTTTAGTGTAACTATAGTATCATCAGCAGTGCCTAATGTTGACCAGCAGATGGTATTGGTTCACTAACTTAAGGACACTTGAACGCCTGAATAATTCTACCAGATATCATTACTGTAAATGATGTTTTGTAAAACTGAAATTCACTTAAACATTAATACCATACCAATTTTTTTAAAACATCACATTATAGTAATACCCTTTAAATGTAAGAAAACACCTTTGGATACTATTTTTGGTTACTTTTATTTAGTTTCTATGAAAAGTCAAAAGGACATAACCAAACACTTAAGAAGCCTAAAAAGGTTTGCTCTCTCTCTCTCTCTCTCTCTCTCTCTCTCTCTCTCTCTCTCTCTCGCTCTCGCTCTCGCTCTCTTTTCATGGTTACGGTCAAGTTAAACTTTGGAACATAGATTTGGGTTGGATTGTGTAATATGTGCTTGGTTGGGTTCTTTTCAAGCATTTATACAAACTTATTCTAAAGAAAGATCACATTTTCTATAGGCTCAAAACAATAGCAGCAACAACAAAAGAATACTTGTAAAAATAAGTTTAAAGGGGTCATATCGCGTTTGAATCGTCAGTGGCAAATTCTTTAAATATAAAAACGTACTTACAGTCTGTGAGTCAGAACAGCCGGCATTGTAGTCTAGCTCTACCAGGATCAGGAAACAGTCCTCCATAAAATGCGTTGCTTCATCCACGGTGAAAGCCGATCCGGCGATCAACTGCACGAAGTTGATGTATTTCCTCAGCGACCAGCACGGATCAGCTCTAGGCATGACGAAGCGGATATCGTCCTCTTTCGGAAGGCCAAACAAAGTAGTTTCACTTTCACAACGAAACACAGCGTCTTCACGACATGGCGGCAACAACAATACTACAGCGAGAATACAAGTTACGCCTTCTTTCTTTGCGTGAACATTTGGGTGGCGTTATGCAAATCTTCCTACATAGTGAGGTAGATATGTGGGGGCGTGTTAGAACGAGCCGTTTTAGGTAGGCGTGGTTGACTCTTAACTTTTATAAAGAATATCTGTTTGGATTTGAGACTTTAGTCTTTTGCAACTTTACAGATGTTCTTTATGCACCAAGAGCTTGTAACACTCCAAAGAGAAAGGACAAATTGAAATCGCATCATATGACCCCTTTAAAATGAAAACTAAGACTGGCAGCAAGAAACTATGATGAGGTACACTTGTACCGGGATTCTGCTAGGACACCTGTTTGAATTGATCATACATCCACCATGACCTTGAGATATAAGCATAATTTAATCATAATTTGTTGAAAGAGAATATTGGTTTGATATTTTGTTTACTATTGTTACGACATTTAGATATTGCACTTCGTGTACAACATGGGATCTCTTGTCAAGCTGCATTTGTTGATTATAGTTTTGTAAGTACATTACGCAATGTAATGCAGAAGGACAAACAGAGACAGACTTTTGATGTGCCTTGTGTTTTTGTAGTCCCATTGCCATATTTAATTTAATATGAATGTATTTCCCCGCTGGTACCGCTGTGTCATTGTTCATTAATACTGATGGTTTTCTCATTTAAGACTTCAAAAACACGTTGCTATCATTTATTTATTTTTAAACAACTTAATTCACGTTAAAAAGGACTGAATTAGTCACAGAACATTGTATAATTGTAGCAGTCTTTTTCTGCAAATGCTTCCAAGGCCTCTCATAGATCTAAAGTCGAGATATATAGCACTATTCTAAATAATTTAATAAAAAGCCTCACATGCGCACGCACACGCACAAACACACACACACACACACACACACACACACACACACACTTAGAAATTATAATTTATTCATGATATTGATGGATATGCATAATAGTTTAGATAGATGGAGTGCAGAAAATATTTGTAACATGAAAATAACTCTTCTCAAAAGCAGCAGTGTACTGTATGCAATATGTTGTTAATTTCAAGTTAAGTTGTGTTAGGAAATGAAGGCGATGCGTAGCCAAACTGGCATTCATACTGCAACAAACGTTTGTGTTCTCAGCATCTGGACCTTAAAAATCCATGGTTATAGGCATTGTAGAAATATCAGTTTAATGGAGAATGAAACGATAGCCATTTAATTTTTATGGGTTTTATTTTTAATTTAAATTTTGATTCATAAACCATACAATGCGTTTCAGATTTTTCAAAAAAGAAAATATATTTTGTGCATAAAAAAGACAAACTCAAGCAAAATGTCACTTATGTGCACTGTGGCTTCTGCAGTTCAAAGCGAAGTTATAAGTGGAGAATATATTCCCCTCCCATAAACAACATATTTCAATACAAAGTGGCAAGTAATAGATGTTACGTTCATCAGTAAACAGATCTCATTATCTGAAGTCGTCTACACAATGCCTGTCACAACATTCCAATGTTACTGTTCAAACTTGGGCACGATTTTGTATATGGCTTTTAGTGCTGTTCCTCTTTTCGCAGAGAACAGTGGAATTACAATATAATTCATTTGAGACTTATTCATATCTACACTTAAGCAGTTAGTCGTGAAACGTTGAATATACAACTGGTCCTCAAAGAATCTCTCAGTGTAAATTCTGTTTGTAGTTCTCTGCCATATAACAAAGTTCAATGCATCATCAGCAGTTTGTCAAATTCTGTCTGTCTGTGATGAAATACTTGTGAAAATATATGCAGGGAGAAACACATTTAAACAAGAAAAATAAAAATAAAAAAATACAAATTTTTAAAAAAGGGTAAACATGAGGAACGAATGTTGCAATTAAACGATGGATGAATATATAAGGTATATTCATATAGTTGTTATAAAGCATTGTAAAACTAAGGGCCAAACACATTCATTTGATATTTCAAACAGATAATATAAGATCACAGTTCAGAGCATTGGATGATACACCAACACATGAAATAACAAAATACATAGTTTTAAAGAAATTAGCATTCGAGTAAGATCACACAAGTTTATAGGAAAAGAAAGGTGTCAGGTCTATTTTGCATTTCAGTTTGGGCAAGTTTCAAAAACTTTCTGTCAAGTTTATACTATTCAATAATATTTAAATATTTTATTGCAATATCACAATGGAGATCCTTGACAAACTTTTGATCAGAATGATGTGACTAACTTTCCTTCCAGCTAAATATCCTTCTTGAATGCAATTTGTGTTATTCTCGTTGCTTAATTGTTCATACATATGGTGTACAAATCTATATAAATTGTAAATGATAGGTAAAATAACTGTTTACATTAATATTCAGAATGTTGCAGTATGAAACTGGTTTTTACAGTATCCTTTCTATAATTGTCACAGTTATGGCTAGTTCATGCAAAAAGTCGTTCATAAGTTTGGATGTGGAAATCTGTGTATTGCTGCTCTTTGGTTGGTGATGTGACATGAAGCGCTTCACGGCTGAGGTTTGTAGCAGTAGACTCCATACAGCTTCTGCTTTTTGTCGGGGAAGCCAACAAAGCGAACTGCAGCCTCCGTGGGACTGCAGTTCATCCTGGGCCTGGAGATAGGGTAACGAACGCTACCGTCGGCCAGCCAACCAGCATCACAACGGTCGTATCCCAGCAGCTTCCAGGCAGCGTATATATGGCCCACCTTTGCGATCTCAGCTCCATCTCTCTTACACGCGTCAACAGCCTCATCAAAGTTCAGCCTCTTGGGCTGGATCAAGTAATAAAAGCGCCCTGTGATGGGAACCAAAGAGTTTCAGGATTGTGGACACAGACAAACGTTATGCTCCATTTTATACTAGAATTGAATGGTTTAACTCACCTCTAAGGCTGGCTGTGAAGCAGAACACATCATAGCGGCTGTTGGACTTGTCCTGTCGGCCGTAGGTTCTCAGTCCAGCTGAGGTCCTCACGCCTCCGCAGGGCTCTCTGGGTTTGGTGATGGGATACTGCACAGTTCCGTCATTGAGCCAGCCAGCATTGCACCAATCCATCCCATTTCTCCATTCCCCATAGAGCTGCTCGAAGGAGGCGACCACAGCATCCTGCTCCAGACACGCGGCCTCTGCATCTTGGAAGTTGAGGTTGTACCGCCCCAGACGAGGGTAGTATGGGAAAACAACCCCTGTGAAAGAAAATGAATCTTCCCCTAAGGAAAATTTCAACTGAGTTTAACATCAGGCTGATTTGATGAACATATTTTAGGACCACCCCACTGAACAAATAAGAAAGATATGAGTAAAACCAGTTTAAAAAAAGTTTTAGTTTTCTAAGAGCCTCCCTGCTTAGTTGAAAAGATTTATGTGGTACGGTGTTAGAAAAAGAAAAAAAATGAAAAAGAGAGAAAATTACTTGCAGGGCTTGGACTTTTCAATCTTAGACTCCATTGTTCCAAGGTTAACAATGACTAGTTGTGCCAGCCTGTTTCATTATGCTCATGCACCTCACTTTTTCTGTGTAAAGATCCCCATTGTTTCTCTGGAGCTATGGTCTTGGCCAAGAGCACGAATTACAGGATATTACTGGAGAATGAGCAAATGATAAGTGGCAAAAACAAGTGTTGAAAAAAACATTATGTTGAAATGAACAGCTCAAATGTGGCTTATGAACTGTAGAGAGTGAATGAAATATGTTCATACAGCAATGGCAATTTGTTGCATA